TGTGTGTGTGTGTGTGTGTGTGTGTGTGTAAGAAAGAAAGAGAGAAAAACCAGTCTAGGCTTGTAGAGTATAGTTTCCTGACCTTTCCACGCTGCTCATGATTCCTTTGAGCCAAGAAACTGGCATTCAGTTGTAAACTGTCTTTCAGTGTATTTGAGGGTCTGTGCATGTTTGTGTGCACACCTGTATAGATAAAGGAATATGTGTAGTAGAAAGGGTTGTTTTTTTTTTTTTAAAGAGTAAGAGAGCAATGAAAACAAGGCATAGAGAGAAGCAAAAGAAATGGCAGCAAATGTAAATATGTATGTGATATTTTAGACCGTGTGAATTAGGGTGGTCTCTGCATCTCCATATCTCTCGGCGTTTGTAGCCTACGTTTTGCGTTTTGTGTGTTGTACATCCAGGAGCTGCTCCAAGGGTCTCTGGTAATCACACATTATTCATGAGCTCTTAATGTGAGACGAGACAAACTGGCGGAGCTGATGACAAGTTTGATGAGAAAGGAGGAAAGGAGCAGCTGGTATGTGTGTATAAGTGCGTGAGTGTGTGTGTGTATGTGTGTGTTCATACTGAAGTCATTACCAGTCTGTCATGTTCGGCCCGCGTTCACTGTGTGATGGGAATGAGCGAACAGTGTTGAGCAGACACAGTCAGACTGGCAGAGATGGTGCAAGGAATATTCTTGCAAACTTTTAAACACACGGAAATGATTTCTGTGCGTCTGCCACACAGTTTAGATTCAGCATGCGCAGCACATGTTTCCATTTCTACAAATTAGGGCTTCTTCTGTTGTATTTGATCATTTCTCAGAACCCTCTTATCTTCTTGTAAGATCATTAAACACTCAGTCTTTATTGCTCCTGCAACAAGTTTAACCTCCTCCCAGAAATCACTCTAAATTCTCAAAGGAACTCTTACTTGAATTCATTTGAAGCTTAATGACTATTTTAGGCATGTCTATATTTTTAGACTAATGAATGCATAGGCTCCCGGGCAGCCATTCTTTTCCAAATTCGGCATGTTATGAAGAATCGTTGAACTACTTGTCACTTGTTTGGGATAAGTAATCCGTTAGAGTGTAGCATGTCTTTTAAAGATTTGTCAAACTTTCATGACACACATAGGATGAGCTTACAGTTGTTTCCTGCACACCAAAATCCGTTAGTATCCTCATCCTTAGCATTGAGAAAGTACGTTTGAAGCAGTTTAATACCAGATTATACATTGGGTGCAATTGGCCTAAGTATAAAGGATATATTGTATCCAGATATATGTTGTGTAATATCAGAGTAATTTAGAGGTTTCTGGAACAGTTCTGGTGCAGTTTTACCTTTTTCCAAGTTGTATGGAGGCAAGGAAAAACTCTAAAGAGGTCAAAGCTCCTGCAGTGGTTACGTAGTATATAGAACAACTTTACTGCGTGAATGACGCATATCACCTCCCAGGCTTCATTGGGGTTATTATGATAAAGGTTTAAAGCTGAGACATATCAGATGGTGGCAAGGATGTGGACTCAGAGTGAAAGTTAAAGACTCAGAGTGAAAGTTAAAAGCAACATAATGTCTTTTACCTGCACCCAAGCGCAGAGGCTCTGTCTGGGTGCCCAGTCACTCAGCAATAAAGACAAAGAGGTGCGCCTCTCTCCCCGAGCGACTGCAGAACAATATTGGAAACAGATTTGTCACGAGGTGGTTAATAAGATAAAAAAGTGGAAGTAAAATGTCATTAAAAAGTGCTTTGAGAGAGCAGCACTCAAGCTGAGATTGGATACATTTCCACATTTAAGAAACAGATATCACATCACGAAATCAATAAGTAATAAACAACAACCCATTTGATTCTCTTTTCAATAAAATGCTAATAAGCTGTAGGTTTATATGTGTATATACAACAAACCTAAGCCATTATGATATTGGGAGTTTTCACCCTTTTGAAAATTCACATTAAAATAGAAACACACAGGTGCGATCCTGGCAAAATGCTACTTGATTTATACCATATGATAAAATCAGAAACAATATTAAAAACAGCAAAACTGCCATCATCATTTTATTATTCACACCTGGGATTTACCTGATGTGATACGGCATCATGGCTTCAGCATAAAAGCCCCATGATTATAAATAGTTGAACTGTTACAGTGAACCATCAAAACAGATATGACACTGCAAATTAGGAATCTCTACGGGCCACATTTCAAATCTGTAACCCTTCAAATATCATCAAAAAGAAGAAATCCCATCAAAGAAAACCATTCAAGCAAAAAACATGAGCAGCAGCTGCTCTGAAGATTCCCTTTCACCCGTAGTATACAGTAGATTCAAGCGTTCCTGACAAAAAAAAAGAAGAAAGAAAGAAAAAACATTGAATCCATAGCAGCTTACAGGCTTAACTGTAGCTGACCTCCATGTGAACAGACAGAGACAAGTAAAAATAGAAGTTTGAATTTTACTGAATACATTTTTTAGACTACAAGCTCTGTTTTTCAGGTGTTATTCATGGTACGAAGGACATCATTTACCTCCAAGGCCATGTCCAAACTAATGAACATAAATCTACATGTGGAAAGTTCAGCAAAACGCTGGCCAAGCATGTTTAGAAGGTCAAAAAAAAAACCTCGCTTTCAGATTTATCCATATTAGTTTAGACAAGGCTCGAGCCTGTCAGCATGATACAGAATCTGCGGTCGTGGTCAAGGAGTTCAAATGTGACTGCCTGCGTTAGGTGAAAGTTAGCCCTTCAGTCAGGAACCAGTGAATTGAACGCATCTCTTCAAGGTGGTTAAACATGCTGAGCAGCATCTTTTGCCCCCGTCCGTCCTGTTGTAGGGAACGCCACGCCAGGCAGAACAGCAGACGCTCTTTGATTTAGCTCAGATCAGTTGACTACAAAGGATTTTACAGCTGGGATTTGTCAGGAGTAACTTCTTGTGTCTACACTTTGATAAGGCGGCATTAAGCAAACACTGGGTGCCAATCAATGCACACACTGCCCCCTTTTTTACCACAAAAAAAGAATTGTGTTTGTTAAAATCCTTTTGTTTTGTTGCTTAGTTAGCATCCACACAGTGTAGCATGGCAGATCTAGATTGGGATTTTATTTATTACTACTTTATTGCTACCAATTAGTCACTGCGATAGGCCCCTTGGATGTTTCTAACTTTCGGATCCTGCATGTATATTAGTGCTTAATCATCACTGATGAGTCACTCCTAAATCTCTTGTTAACACCTCAAAGGTTTTTTGTTTTTTTTGGTTTCGGCGTCAACATTGAGGGAGGACAGCAGGAGCGAAAAGGTGTGTGCAAAGAGGACAAAGTCATGCATGATGCTTCTCTCAGTTCCAATGGATCCAAACTGTCTTTCTCTCGCTTTCCTTTACACACACACACACATTCACGGCTATAATATTCTACTAGAAGTGGGGGTGGACTGTGTGTATGTGTGTGTATGTGCATACTTACTGTTCATCCCCTGAAGACCACTTTGATGTATATTTCACTGCCGTTGCAGGAAACAGATCACTGGCTATCCAGCACGGTGTCAAAGTGAGTGCCAATGCGGCAGTGTGTGTGTGTGTGTGTGTGTGTGTTTGTGACTCCACATTTGCTCCCCCCTGTTTTCATTGATTCCACAGGGAGCTGAACAGTGTTTATGTAAATGAGGTGGCATTTAAACATATGCCCCGAACAATTACCTTGAAACAACTGTTTAGCTGCACAAAAACAGTGCCGTGTTCAGAGCGAGCCAAGTGGTTAGCTTTAAATATTAAGCCATAATAAGGGGACAGAGGTGAGATGAGCCAGCCGGTTGGCTATTTAGCTTGCTAGTTTTCTCGTGGACGCTAATGCATTCCACAAGAATCTAACCCAGGGGCCTTAAATGATGATCATAATAGTAAGTGATCCAGCCTCAGTGTTAAAAGGACTCAGAAGAGAGGATCAAGGTGGTAATTGCGGTTCAGCAAATGTCAGAAAGAAAAAGAGTTAAACGTTAGCTTGAGATGAAGAAATGTCTGTGAGAAAAGCTCAAGAGCAGCTGTTGACTTGCTGTGTTGTCACAGCTGCGGAGTCAAGGCTCTCTTTGCTGCAGTCGCTCACACAAAGTCTAATGTTATTGCACACATACACGTGCACACGCACCAAGTCAGCCATTAAGTGGCATTAGAGCCGTTTGAGAGTGAGCAGGTGAGTGCTGCTGAATGTGAAAGTTCTGTATGACTGGACCATTCCTGCTGACCACTGCAAAGTGCTCCCACTGATCACCGCTAATGTCCTCCATCACAGTTTACGCTCAACACTCTGGAGAGTGTGTGTGTGTGTGTGTGTGTGTGTGTGTGTGTGTGTGTGTGTGTGTGTGTTGGAGAGAAAGGTGGATAATTGGGACAGATGGGTGAGATAGGATGAAAAGAAGGAGGAGGGCGAGCAG